TAGGGGGGTGCGAATAAGCGGTACAGCGATGTGGACCCAGGACAGGGGCGTTTTAGGGTTTAGGGTTTAGGGTTTAGCTAATAAACGGTACAGCGATGTGGACCCAGGACCGGCGGTAGGGTTTAGGGTTTAGGGTTTAGGGTTCAGGGTTTAGGGTTTAAGGGACAGTGATGTGGACCCAGGACCGGCAGACGACAGTTTGGAGCAAAATGCCTGGGTTGGCGGCTACAACCCAACAAGTGTCGACGACATGGTCAACGACGCCAAAAAGGGCGGAGCAGGATCACTTCTCCAAACCAGCGCCCGCCCGCGCTGTCCCATGGCCTACCTGCACCAAGGTGACAACAGCTTCGTGCAGACGCTGCTGTCCAGGTAGACTTCCGGGCTTCCGGCATCGCCGTAGTTAAGCTTAGTTTATCTTCCGATTCCAGGCCGATCGCACATGTAGTGTTGACGGCTCGTCCAGACGGGGAAAAAGTGTGTGCTCGGAGACCGCAGCTCCTTCGGATTTGCCGGAGTTCGATGCCCCCGATTAGAGAAGTTGTTCACAATGTCACACTGCGAAAGTGTAAGGTTATAAGTTTTCCTGGCCGATGGATGGAAATCATGCGAAGGAGCTTGTTGTAAGTCTATATCCTCGGCAACGGCGCTCTTTGAGTTCTTAACCCTGAAACCGAAGATTTGTATTCTGTGAAAGACCCTGGAGGCCCTTGAGAGAGCCGCATGGCCTTTGGCAATCTCGGGTTCAGGGTTCATAAGTCGAGCTCCTAAAGGGAAAGGTCCGAAACACCAAAACCCTGAACCCTAAACCCTAAACCTAGATCTAACTCCTCGACTATCTAGAACCGCAAGCCTAAAGCCCTCATCCGAAAGCTTCGGCGAACCGAAAAGCCTGAGCCTAAGCCCTAAACCCTAAGCCAAAACATACATAGAAGCCCATGGGGTTTCCGTTACGGGGTCCTTTGAGGGTACCTTTAAGGGTTGCGTAAGGGCTCCTATATAGTAGAAGCCCAAAAGCTGGAAACCCAATAGCCTCAATCCTGAAGAGTACGTAGTGTTAAAGGAACCCCAGCACTAATTGTCCTCAATCCGGTTTCCAACTTTTCGGGGCTTACTATAAAACCCCTAAAGCCCTAACCCCAAAACCCTTAAAAACGAGGAGGGGGTTCCGTTTAAGGGGTCGTTTAAGGGGACCTTTAAGGTTTCTTAAGGGTTTTCTATACATAAAGCCGTAAAACCCAAGCATGGAGCTGTGAAGATGAACCCCCAAACCAAACCTGTCAACCGCACCTCCTAAACAGTTAATAACTTGGGTTATAAGTAAGGCTCCTTTTCAAGGGTACCATAGGGCTCTATATTTAGGGTTCCCTTAAGGGTTTAAGGTTAAGGGCCGACCTAAAGGTTCATGGGGGTAACTGTACTCGTTCTTATGTGATATATATATATATGTATATAACCCTTGTTCGGATATTTACAGTTGTATTCACGAAGTCCCATGGACCTCCAAGTAAGCCCTACAGTGCCCCGAACTCGTGAAGGAATCCCAAACCTAAAACCTAAACCGCAAACCTAAAACCCCGATCTCAGCCGAGGCTACTCATGACCAACATCGGCTCACTGCAGAGGCCCGCGCTGAAGATTCGGTTTACGGTTTAGGGCTTAGGGGGGGGTTTAGGGTTTAGGGATTTTTGACGTTTTTCTGGATTGCAGGCTTCAAGGTTTTGGTTTGGGATGTACCCGCCATCTGAATTTCATGTTGCTGGCTTTTTCGGATCAAGCAGGCTACACAGGGGCTATGCAAAGGCTGTATCAAACGGTGTAAGGCTTGAGCGCAGGCGTTCGGCAACCCTGCTCCATAAATTCTTAGACCTGCTTGAAGTGCAGGGTTTAAGGTCACACGGCGTCAGACTAGATAGTATTTTATCCCCACATGGCCATGTAGTCCAGATGTGGTCCATATATCCCCTGCCAAAGCCCCGATTTTACGGCCAAGGGTTGAGTCTCCCAAGCCCTTGGATCCTGTGTGAACCTTGTGACGAAACTCGCCATCAGCACAACCAAGATCTCAGGACAACGGCAGTACGGTTTCATGTAGAAGCCGAAATAATTACCAATACGATTTTGGGGGTTCCTCATTATAATTAAAGTGTAATTGCCCTAAAACCCTATTCAAATTATTAAGGCCCCTACATTACGGTTTAGTAGGCAGTTTAGGGTTTGGAGCAGGGTCCAGTCCTATATCCGGAGTAGTACCCTTTGGCCTTTTTGTATTTTCGGGCCCTCGTGTTCAAAACCCAGACAGTAGGAAAAAGGGTACCCTTAGTACAAGGGAGCCACTCAAAAACCCTAAACCCTAAACCCCTCAACCCCTAAACTTAACAAAACTAAGCCCGTAAACCCTTAACCGTAAAACACTAATCCCTGAAGAGTCGAAGCAAGACCAACTTCAGTGTTGAAAGAAGTTAAAGAATAAATCCGTGATTCCTACAAACTCCAGGTCCCACTTACGCAAACAATGTGTCGTTGGATTACGGAGTATT